GCATAGCTCCTAGGATCATTGGGACACTCAAACCCCTCCACCACGATAAGGTAGCAGCCCAAGGAGAGGTCTTCATTTATTATTTATTATTACTATAGCTAACCTAAGTCTTTATAAAAACATGAATTTAATTTTACTATGAACAATAACAAGTGAACTCTACAAACCTCAGTGTGCAGCACCACATTTTATATTTCCCATTTCACTTACTACGTTTCCAACAGAAAAGATCATTTATTGGTCCAAGAACAGAATGTTTTTATTAATGCCTGGTCAACCCTAACCCTAACCATCAATCAATAAAAAAAGGCCTGGTCAACCCTAACCCTAACATCAATCAATAAAAAAAGCCTGCTCAACCCTAACCCTAACATCAATCAATAAAAAAAGCCTGCTCAACTCTAACCCTAACATCAATCAATAAAAAAAGCCTGTTCAACCCTAACCTTGACCATCAATCAATAAAAAAAGCCTGGTCAACCCTAACCCTGACCATCAATCAATAAAAAAAAGCCTGCTCAACCCTAACCCTAACCATCAATCAATAAAAAAAGCCTGCTCAACCCTAACCATCAATCAATAAAAAAAGCCTGCTCAACCCTAACCCTAACCATCAATCAATAAAAAAAGCCTGGTCAACCCTAACCCTAACATCAATCAATAAAAAATGCCTGGTCAACCCTGACCATCAATCAATAAAAAAATGTCTGCTGAAACATCACACAGAAATACAACCAGCTCCAGCTTCAGATGCATGAATGTAAAATCACTGCTTCAGTGATCTCACTGTGACTGCAGCACAGGCATCAGCAGGTGAACTTTAGTTTATCACTCTATTAAATAATTGTATTTCTGATAAAATAAGCTGAAACCTTTAACTGTAGAACTAAAGAATTTTTTAAAAATCTGCTTAGTCGACTGATTAACTGAATAATCAATAGATTAATCAGTTACTAAAATAATCATTAGCTGCAGCTCTAAATAAAAATGGTTTAATATAAAAACTATGTGATAAAAAAATAACAAGATGTCAAGAATTTTTAAATTTTGTCTTTTGTTTTGTATCAGAG